CTAGTCTATACACACAATGTATGTATCTGTTCTAACCTATACATACAATGTATGTGTCTGTTCTAGTCTATACACACAATGTATGTGTCTGTTCTAACCTATACATACAATGTATGTGTCTGTTCTAACGTATACATACAATGTATGTGTCTGTTCTAACCTATACGCACAATGTATGTGTCTGTTCTAACCTATACACACAATGTATCTGTTCTAGTCAATACACACATTGTATCTGTTCTTACCTATTCACACCATGTATCTGTCTGTTCTAACCTATACACACAATGTAGGTGTCTGTTCTAACCTATACACAATGTATCTGTCTGTTCTAACCTATACACACACGGTATCTGTTCAAACCTATACACACAATGTATATGTTCTAGTCTATACACACAATGTATGTGTCTATTCTAGTCTAAATACACAATGTATCTGTCTGTTCTAACCTATACACACAATGTATGTGTCTGTTCTAACCAATACACACAATATATCTGTCTCTTCTAATCTATACACACAATGTATCTGTATGTTCTAGTCTATACACACATTGTATCTGTTCTTACCTATTCACACAATGTATCTCTCTTCTAACCTGTACACACAAAGTACCTGTCTGTTCTAACCTATACACTCAATTTATGTGTCTGTTTTAAGTCTATACACACAATGCATCTGTCTTTTTTAGTCTATACGCACAATGTATCTTTCTGTTCTAGTCTATACACACAATGTATCTTTCTGTTCTAGTCTATACACACAATGTATCTTTCTGTTCTAACCTATACACTCAATTTATGTGTGTTTTAGTCTATACACACAATGTGTGAATCTGTTTTTGTCTATACACGCATTGTATCTGTTCTAACCTATACACACAATTTATCTGTCTGTACTAGTCTATACACACAGTGTATCTGTTCTTACCTATTCACATAATGTATCTCTTCTAACCTATACACACAATGAATGTGTCTGTTCTAGTCTATACGCACAATGTATCTGTCTGTACTAACCTATACACACAATGTATCTGTCTGTTCTAGTCTATACACACAATGTATCTGTCTGTTCTAGTCTATACACACAATGTATCTGTCTGTTCTAGTCTATACACACATTGTATCTCTTCTAATTTATACACACAATGTATCTGTTCAAACTATACACATAATGTGTCTGTCTCTTCTAGTCTATACCCACAATGTATCTGTCTTTTCTAGTCTGTACACACAATGTATCTGTCTGTTCTAGTCAATACACACAATGTATCTGTCCGTTCTAACCTATACACAATGTATCTGTCTGTCCTAGTCAATGCACACATTGTGTCTGTTCTTACCTATTCACACAATATATCCCTGCTAACCTATACACACAATGTATATGTCTGTTCTAATCAATACACAATGTATGTCTATTCTAACCTAAACACAATGTAGCCTATCTCTTCTAACCTATACACAATGTATCTATCTTTTCTAATCTATACACACAATGTATCTGTCTGTTCTAACCTATACACACAATGTATATGTCTGTTCTAACCTATACACAATGTATCTGTTCTGAACTATACACGCAATGTATCTGTCTGTTCTAACCTATACACACAATGTATATGTCTGTTCTAACCTATACACAATGTATCTGTTCTGAACTATACACAATGTATCTGTTCTGACCCATGCACAACATGTATCTGGGTTTGCTTTTTGTTTGTTTGCTTTTGTTTTGTTTTTGTGCACTCAACAGGAGCTATTCTCATTCTCAGACCACTTACCCTCTCGACTGCTCCGATGTGTGTGTGTATGGGGGGGTGGGGGGGGGGGGGGGGGGCCCCTTCTCTTTCTCTAACTAAAGCCTTGGGATAATGCCAGCGGTTTCACCGATTAAAGTAAAGTCCCCCCGCCCCACCGTCCCCAAGTATAGATAAGCAACGGCCCTGTCTTTGTGGGGAAACTCTGGCTGTAATTGAAGTGGCAACCCACGGACTCTCTCTCTCTCTCTCTCTCTCTCTCTCTCTCTCTCTCTCTCTCTCTCTCTCTCTCTCTCTCTCTCTCTCTCTCTCTCTCTCTCTCTCTCTCTCTCTCTCTCTCTCTGTGTCTCTCACAACAAGAGCAAAAACAACAACAACGACAACAACAACGACAACAACAACAACAGTAGCAGCAGCTGCTGCAGCGATTACGAAAGATATTGTTTTTAATGGTGGGACAATACATGTACAAAGAAACAAATTTACGGACACACCAAGAAAATATAGGTAAACGAAAGGCCATTTGTAGTTGGAGCTCTTTTCATACCCTCATCTCCTCACTATTGTTGGTTAATGAAGTTATGAAAGACAAGTTGAATTTCTCCACAGAGATAGATGAAGGGGGCTCTTGTGGTCTAGAGGTTAAGGTGTTTGCCTCTTATTCAATAGGTTCTGGGTTCGAAACCTGGCAACGACAGAACATTTTCTTCTCTAAAATGTTCTTCTTTCACCCCCTTTCCTACTCTCTAACCATGTACTGTCGTCTGCTTTCGTCTCCAATTTCAGCCCCCAACCCATCCTCCATTTGCCCCCTCTTCTGGGCTCCTGACTCTTTCTACAGCTTTTCTACTGCTACTCTTTGGCTCCGGCTCCTTCTTACTGTTGTCTTTCAGCCACACCCCAAACACAGATCTTACACTTTGCCCTCTCGGAAAATTGCGAAAATTATCGGAGGTCTCGTGCAAGTTGCACTCGTTAAAGATCCCTTGGTGGTACAAAATCGATAGGCATAGGCTGCGGCTGCCGTC